CCTTTGGGCCCCCTCTTCCGAGATGCGGGGGTTATGGTGGTGTACGTCAAGCCACTGGAATGATTTCAATGTAATAGAAATTAATTTCTCACCACAATATAATGGTAACAAGTAATATGAAAAAAATTAAGTCAGTTCTCTCTCTCTCTCTCTCTCTCTCCTATTTAGGTCAACTAAGAACAATTTTATTTTAGTTACTTTTTATTCAATAATTACAATTAATAAATATAATATGTATATACATATGACAGAATCACAACATTAAGTGGCAAAACACCTTCTAAATTAAAATTAACAACTTTTTAATCACATTAAATTTGTAATTCCTTTTTTTTTTTAATAAAAGTTGAATATAATAGGTAAGAATTTATCTTAAAACCAGAGTATAAAAGGAATGCTGACGTCTAACCAGCATATTATTCAGGTTAAGTTAAATGTTCATCACAAATTTCACAAAAGTTGATTTATCCAAGGGTGCTGCCATCTAGAGGAATAGGAATTAATTATATTTAATTAATGAATTAATATCTGAAAAAACTGTGTGTTAACATCAAGTGTCATCCACTATAAGTTTAAGAAAATTATTTGAACTTCAGAGGACGAATAAAATGAATTTTATCAAAGATTGAAAATTTGAACAAGACACATTTATGTATATAAATATATACACAGGGAGAGTGTGAACTAATTGTAGGAATTAAATAAAATGAAGATTGCTTCCTTTCTTTCAAATTTAAATTATATGACAAAAAATGCATAAAAATCTAGATTAAACGGAAGGATACCAAAATTCCTTAGAATGTGAAGACTTGGTCTACTATGTACAGGGGCTGAGAGAGACGCATATTCAATTTGTCGAAACTCGTAGATCTGACGATGGCATGGTGTGGAAGTCTGGAGAATGGTGTGACAGCACGGAAGTCGTCTTCGTCACTTGAGTGAGGTTCAAACATACGAGGTCCGTTTCCAATAGCCCATGCGTACTTTCAAGTGTAGCGTTAACATGCAAT